GTTGACGGAAACTGGGGAGAAAACAGGAGCTCACCCTGTTTAACGCAAAGGCTGGACTCGAACCGCTGAAGCGTCAGCCATTTCTGGCCGGCAACTTTCAGCGTCATTAAGCCGCTGCGCCACCACGTCCCCCACAAATAAGGAATAATAATACATAATTATTAATAATCATATGTACTCATAGTATTACAAATTAGTTAACATGATTACTCTTCATGGGTATAATCATTCTTCAGTCACTTTAAAAACTACAATTCAGCAACAACTTTTATAGGTACTGAAAGTCTCATCCAAAGCTTTGGGGACATGTCACTCTGAGGCTTCAAATTTTGAACTCTTGATCCTGGAGGAATGTTGAACAGACCCAATGAATGGCTATGTTCACAAACAAAGAGCGATCAACAAATGCACATAATGCTATGCCACAATGGGTGTATTTGCATATCACACAAAGAAACACATTATGATTTATAGCTCTATATTAATTAATTAATTAAATTACATTTACATCCCACCACAGTCTGGCAACTCTCAGCAGCAAATACTATATGAAAAACATGGAAACAACCACAGCAAGTCTAAAATAAATGTAAGACAAAATACATCATAACACCAAACCAAATTAAAAATGTGAATGAAAACAATAAAAATAATAAAAAGATGACAAAGTTCATTGCTCTTCAGAACACCTCAGTCTTTAACATCCTCCTGAAAGCCATTAAGGAGAGGGCCAGTCTAATCTCTGTTGGGAGGCTGTTCCAAAGCAACACCTTCTACCTTCCACTCCCTTCACTTCTTAGAAGTACGGAGATGACTTTCTTCTTAGATGATCTAACAGGTTGGGACAATTCAAGGTGGAGTAGGCATACTCAGATAGCAAGCTAAAAAGGGCTTTAAAGATCAAAACCAGTACGTGTTCTCCTTGAAAAAGACTGCATGATTTGTGACAGCATACTCAATTTGCACCAAGGTCTGGAAACATGCCAAAACTTTTACCTGCCATAACCACTTGAACATTTTTCCACCAAAACTCTTTTCTGCCTTCACTCACACATTTACCATACCTGTTGTATGGTTGTTCCAGTTGTACATCCTGCCTCTCACTTACCTCCATACCTGCAATAGCTACTACTGTTACTATCGGGTTAAAACAGCCATCCACGTATTTTCCAACTCCAAAGGAAAAAGAAAAAGACTACAAATAAAGTTCGACATATTACACCACTGACCTCTCATGCTACTAGTGACTGAAAGCATCCACTGAGAAAGCAGCAGAACCACTGCAAAACAGTGCCTCTGATCCTCAACCTCCATAGGCAGTCCAGCAGAATACCATGGTGAATAGTATCAAAAACCACCAAGAGATCTAAGAGAACCAGAAAAGACACACTATACCATACAAGTCCAAATCATCCAGGAGAGTGATGAATACTGTCTCAGACCTGTACCCAAGCTTGAACCCTGACTCAAAAAGGTCCGGATAATCCACTTTTTCTAGGATGCTGTAAAACTGATCTGCCATCACTATCTCAACTATCTTCCCCAAAAAGTTGAAGTCAGAGACTAGGCAGTAATTGTCTGAGACTTCCAGATCCAGGGATGGCCTGTTTAGAAGAGGGCACACTACAGCTTCTTTCAAAACTGTTGGCAGCCTCCCCTTCCATAAAGAGACAATGACAATCACCCAGATCCAGGTGGTCACACATATATCCATTATTGCAAAAGTCAGGACAGGCAGGGATTCAAGCCACAGGTGGCAAAGGATAACCTACATGCACCCTACCCACTTCCTCAGGGTTCACAGGACAAAAGGAGTCCCAGATAACATGGCAAGATTGTCTAATTATCTAATCAGTGCCACAGCCTCTGACCATGAGGATACAAGATCGTGGTGAAACTAAAGTTACTTTATCAGCAAAGTGCTATGCAAATTGGTCACAGCAGCTAGGCAGGAGACCCCAATAATAACTGGTCTCCAAAAAGGAATTAATCACCCTAAGCAAGTCTGCTGGATGACAATCTCCCAATGTAATAAGAAAGGAGAAGTGAAGACGGCTCGCTTCCTATATCACCACGGTGGAGGCCTGAATGCTGGCACATACCTATGCTCAATTGGGCTTGCTTTCTGTCTTTCTCCACCAGTATTCTGGTCTCATTTCTGATGCTTCATTTCCAGGATGGCCTCAGTAAAACCG